ATCCTGATATCATTAGTAGATCCAGAGAAATGATTTAATTTATCTTGTTGGTTACAATAATACAGAAATATTTAGTCTAAATCCTAGTTTCATGTAATTTTAATGAGGATTTTTTAATGTCATTTGAAAAAAGAAACCTCAAATAGTAATTGAATATTGAGATTTCCCATCTGGAAAGAAACAAAAGCTTTGATAGCTTACACAGGGTTCCTGCAGATCCTTAAAAAGTCTTAAAAGGCATTGAATTCATCAATTCAAAAATAAGGCCTTAATTAGCCTTAAATTGTCTTAAATCAATCTTTCATAGGTCTTTAAAATGTTAAAACGTACATAGGATGACTAATTCATCTCAAATATTACAATAATTGGTAATGTTTGTTAAATAACTGACTGAATGCCTCTTACAGCTCGTTTTATTTTAAAGTAAACATTTGGCTAAAATTGTTGCTAACTGGGTTAGCTTGTGTTCTTTGTGAAGTTGGTCTTAAATTTCATTTCAAGTCTTAGGTCTTAAAAAGTCTTAAATTTAACTTACCTTAAGCTGTAGGAACCCTGTTACAGCGAGAATTTCATCATTTTAAGGTGTTTTTCCTCAAAATCTGGTTTTTGGTTCCTAATGCAGGGTTCCTACAGTTTAAGGCAAGTTAAATTTAAGACTTTTTAAGACCTTTTTAATGCCACTTGAAATGAAATTTAAGACCCAATTCATAATAAATAAAAACACAGAAAAAAACAGTTGGTGACAATTTTACCCAAATGTTTATTTTAACACAGAACAAATAGCTACGAAAGAAATTCTGTAAATTATTTTAAAAAATAATAACAAATGTTACCAATTATTTTTAATATTTGAGACAATTTACAATAATCCTATGTAAAATGTGTTAACATGTTTAAGACCTCTGAAAGATTGATTTAAAACATTTAAGGCTAATTAAGGCTTTATTTTTGGATTGATGAATTCAAGGCCTTTTAAGACTTTAAGGATCTGCAGGAACCCTGTACTGCTCAAAAAAGTGCTTCAAAAAACTTTTTAGAATAATATTTCAGACAGTTCATTGAAATGATACATTGATAAAACATTTGTTATATTTTGACAAAATTAAATTTTTGCTAGCGTTTCAATCAAAACACTATCTGGATGTTTCTCCACGTACAACTTTTAGACTTAATCCTGGTTTCGATGTGACGGCTCACATATGTATATCGAAGTAGAAACATTAGTTTCTGTTTGATCCTGTTTGTTGTGCAGAATCAAGGCGGAGGACTCCATGGACGTGGGCGTGATCATGCTSTTTTACGGGCTTTACTACGGCGTGATGGGCAGAGACTTTGCAGAAATCTGCTCGGACTACATGGCTTCAACCATCGGGGTAAAACCAGCAGGAACTCCTTAGTTTAAGGATAAACACAGGATCTGTTTAGTTTAGAGGATAAATTCTTAAAATGTGAATTTAAAWATCCATGTATTTGTGTGTTTTCAGTACTATAACAGGGGAGGGATGCCCAGCAGGAGCCTGACGGGGGACATCTGTGCCGTGTGCGGTCAGAGGATCCTGGTGGAGGTGGAGGAGGAGGGTTTTATAGAAGACACCTACCAGCTCTCCTGTGGCCARATGTATCCTGACACTTCCTGTTTCCTGCAGGAATAGGGCCGGCCTGGCTCTGCTTCATGGTTTTTACAGTAACCTGACCAGCCTTAACTCATCCTGACCTTCCAGATTCCARGAGTTCTGCATCCGCGGCTGGTGCATCGTGGGTAAGAAGCAGACGTGTCCGTACTGCAACGAGAAGGTGGACTTGAAGAGGATGATGAACAACCCGTATCTTTTTGGTCTAAACTCATTATGATGTTTGAACACAGGTTGAGGAAGCAGCACTGACATTTTATCAACAACTGTCTTTTAGGGAAAATCGAAGGTGATTTTTGAAGTTGATGGCAGCAACACGTCTCGTTAGAGTTGTTCCTGATTGACGTTCCTCACACTGAAGCACCTCCTCTCCTTTTAAAGTGCCTGTGACATCATTTTTTGTAATAAAAATGAACACATTTTAGGAAGGCGAACGGTAATAATATATTGCAAAAAAAATTCACTCTGCTGAGATGAACAGTTGTTGAGATATTTGCATGTGAAGTAACAGGAAGTGATGTCAAAGGGGAATATCTGCATGTAAACAGAGTTGCTACAATAATCATGTTTCCATCCAGTTGTAGAGTGAATTTTTATCTAACTTTTCAAAATTCGCAAAAAATTAAATAAAAATTTGAATCTAGACTGTTTCCATCTAGTTTCCCTCTCGACTGTTTGCGAATAAACGAGGCTACGCAACGTGTGATTGCATCGGACGAGGCTACGCAACGCGTGATTATGTCAGACAAGGCCACGCAACGCGTGATTATGTCAGACGTGGCTACGCAACGCGTGATTATGTCAGACAAGGCCACGCAACGCGTGATTATGTCAGACGTGGCTACGCAACGCGTGATTATGTCAGACGAGGCTACGCAACGTGTGATTA